CCCGGCCCCCCCCCCCCCCCCCCCCTCAGATACATCCTACCTCTCTGGTAGACCCGAAAGACCCCACCAACCTGTCCAAGTTCCTGGCTCCGGAGTCCATGCGCGGGTCCGGCGGCATCCTGCTAGACGCCGAAGGGAAGCGTTTCGCCAACGAGCTCACGACTCGCTCAGTCCTAACCGACGCCATCTTTGAGGCTGGGAAACCAATGCCCGGGGCTAAGCCAGAGGGGGGAGGGGAGCCGGAGGGAATCGCTCCCACGGTGGCGTACCTTGTCCTGAACGAGGAAGCCGCGGGCGCGTTTGGCACAGGCGTCTTGGGTTTCTACATGAGTGAGTACGACGGAGGCGTTAGCACACCGAGGCGTTGGTCCCAGTAGGGGGCCTGTGGTAATCTTGTCACTACGGAGAAAGCACGATCGGGCCAGAGATGGCCGGCCTCAGCGGAAGCCGTCGCGTTTGGGAAACAGCCAAACCTTGCTCAACATCCGCCGCCCGTCTGTATCAAGCAGGGCCACCGCAATGGCCGTCAGGGGCCACCGCAATTGCCGTCAGCCAAACAGCACTACCTATGGTAGACAGTGAGAACACCCAATGGGAGAACTCAACACACCACCTTTCCGTACCTACCGCAACGACGTTAACACTTAATGTACCCAACGACGTCAACACTTTGGCGATTTTTTCTCGCCCCGGGGCAGGCAAGGGGCTCGTGCGGCGCGCAAGCGGTGCCGTGGAAGCCTCGGAGATGATGGGACACTCCGACGGCGGGAAGGCTCTGAAGGAAACCCTGGAGGCCTACGCCGCCGCGGCGAGCGGGGAGCGGACCGACGACTACGGCAAGACCGTCTTCCCGGCGAAAAGCTTTTCCGCTGACGAAACCCTCTGTGAGTCAGCCTCGAATGGTCGAATCGAGCGCTCTCGTAGATACGGTGCCAACCAAGAGAGCGCACGGGGTTGTCGTTGTTGCGAGGCTTTGGGAAGCCTCGTGCTTGGCGTCTTCTCCGGGTACATACCGATGAGCGCGTATGATACGATCGACATGTGTGCAGTGCCGCACCACGAATAGTCTGTTTGTGTTCCTTTTTTCTTCGTTGTTTATGCTGCTGGGTGGTTGCCCTTACGGTACCCTTACCCCCGCATACTGGCAAATTTTAGACGAGGAAGGAAATTTTTGTCGGTCCTTCAACCCGATCCATGCTCTGATTGAAATCCCTGGAGGTATCATTGGAAGTAAAGACGGCCACGGCTGGATCACGGGCATCATTCCAGCGCCCTTAAACTCTCTCCCCTTCATCCCCTGTCGCACGCCTTCTATTTTCGCGCCTCACAGACATTTCGATCATAACACCAGCAATCCACTACACCATGGGGGGTGTGCGCATCGACGGCGAAGGTCGCGCCCTCGGGGAGCTCGCAGGGGACGGGGGAGTCGCGTCCCCGATCCCCGGTCTTTTCGCTGCCGGGGAAGTCACAGGGGGGGTCCACGGGGCCAATCGCCTGGCAGGGAATTCTCTCCTTGAATGCGTGGTGATTGGCCGACTCGCTGGCCAGCATGCGGGGGGGGAGGCAGTAGCGTCGGTGTCCGAAGGTAGCGACAGCGGGGAAGACAGCGCGGAGAATATTAAGAACGGGAATGAATTGTAGGTAATGTGGACGAAGAGCGGGGGTGGCCAACCGAGAGGCTCGATCGTGAGAGGGGGCTGTGAAGAGACTGTCCTCGAGCAACGAACGGCATAGAAAGTGGGGTATGTTCGTGTAGTTTAGGGGGGTACCCTCTGGTCTGTTTGTATGCGAGAATGGATCTGCAATGTGGCATTGCGTTGGCCGTTGACCATGCGCCTCACGCTGTCGAGACAACAGTGCCGTGAAACGAGCGAGACGTATGCGATAGCGTTTGGTTGTCGGATTCCCGGCAAACGAGCTACTGAGAGCAAACGACGTGGTCGAAAACGGTTTCCTGCTATGCAAGCTACGTTTCGCCTATCTATGCACCGGGCATTGAGATGATGGCTTCGCGGATTCGTTCGTTCGGCGGATGGGGGATGTGACCCGAGAATTGTGCGAGTCAACCGCATGTACATGCGTGTCATGTACATATCGGCATGCTTGGTCGCCCCGGTGGTCTAGAGGTTTCCTCGTAGATCGCTAGCCGCAGAGGTAGTGGGTTCGAATCCCCATGGGGGAAAAAAATTTACACACCGTGCGGGTGAAAGCGAAATGGAGTAAATAAAGCTGAAAAGCTCTCGTGAGTACCACACTTCGACGCTAGCACCGTTGACTAGGGAAGAAGACGGTTGGACCCTTCTCGCGATAAAAATAAAATTCGCCAGCACCGCAGGAGAAAGGTGGGGCATGAAAATAAACGAAAGAAGAAAAAAGCCCTGGTGTTTACCCCCTCCTGTGTGACCCTGGATGGTTCTAGTTGTACGAAAAAATACACTGGAAAGTGTAGTACTCTACATACGCTGAAGAGTGTAGTACACGTCTCACCACGAAAAATGGGGGGACTGTCGCCATAATAAATAGGACGAAAACACACAACGCACACACACACACATATCCACGGTGGTGATGGTCGTACTTCACCGAATTCGCTGAATGGGGTGTGGTCACACGTCAGTGTGCACGAGATCGACTTCATAAGTCGC